GCCCCGCCGGGTAGACCCGGCTCCTTTCAGCCAACGCGCGCGCTCGCTCAGGCCCGCGGGGCTGGGGCGTTTCGAGAAGCCCGACGGCCTCGCAGGCCCCTGAGCAGCGCTGCCGCGGCCGGTCGGAGGCTTCTCCGGCGTCCGCTTTAACTGTGTCGCCGGCCCCCGCCCCCCTCTCCTGGGGGCCTCTGCGGGCCGCGCCAACCCGCCGCTCCGCCTTCACCATTCGGCGCTCGGGCTCGGCCTCCTCCTCCTCCGGGAAGCGCTCCCGGACTGACAGGACGCGCCGGCGCTCCTTGCCGGGTTCCGCCCGCCCCGCTCCGCGGCGTCGGCTTTGCTCTCCGCGCCGCTCTCGGTTTCTCCCCTCCCCAATGGCCCCGCCGCCTCTGCCTTCCCGGACAGGCGGGAGCCGGCTCTCGTGCGACCCGCGGCGTGCACGTGTGATGGTGTGCGCGCGTGTGCGAGGAGGCGGCGGGGGGTGGCGCGTGGCGCTGGGGCCTGGCAAGGGCAGCCCTGTGCGGACCCTCGGTGGTTTTCCACAGCCCTCGTTCCGCCGAGGGACCCCGGAGCACACTGGCCTCATCCCCGGCCCCGCACTTTGTGCCTGCGACGGAAGACCCGCAGCGATTCCCCTCAGCCTGCTGGGACGAAGGCTCCCGCCAGTCCTCCAGCCAGCAAAGGGCGCCGCGCGGGCAGAGGCGCGGCAGTCTCTGCGCAGCACCTGCACCCCGAGGGCCTTGGCGCACACTCCTTGGGTCTTACTTCAGGCCCCTCTGCCCGGCCCTTGGGACCAGAACTGCTAGCCAAAGGTCCCGCCAGGCACAGGTTGGCTTGCACTTACTATATAGCCCAGGCTAGCCTCGAACTCTCATCGATCCTCCAAGTATGAGTGATTTGAAGCGGCCTCCCTCGGGCAGCGGCCGGGGTGGGAGTGTGGAGCTGACCTTGCCTAGGGAGCCGGCTGGATGGGCCACCGCTTTCCCCTCCAGCCTCCGCGTTCTGGGAATGCCACGGCTTCGTCCCCCTCCCCGCCCCTCCCGCTGCTCCCAACCACCTGCTCCTTCCCACCCGGGTTCCTTCCCTTACCACAGCCTCCTCCCCAGCCCCGCAGAGAGCAGGACCCGAGGGGAAGACAGGTGCGGTGCTGTGCGGTGCGGTGTGGCTCCTGCAGAAGCGGGCACTAGAATCCTCACGTCCCCTGGCCCGGGGCCTCTGACCTCCCTGGGCTCTGAAACAAAAAACACGCACTGGGTCCCACAGGCACCTCTTCCCAAAGCATTTCCAACTCACTTTACCCTACCTGCAACTTCCTTTGCCTGCAATTAGAATCTGGGATGAGAAGCAACTGTATGTAGAACCTTGCTAAAAAATCAAAACACTCCCTGGAACCTCCAGGTACCCCGCTCAAGCACACTTTTGGGGAATCTGCTCCCACTAGTAACCCCCACCCCTACTTCTCTTCAAATCACTCATACTTGGAGGATGGATGAGAGTTTGAGGCTAGCCTGGGCTACATAGTAAGTTCAAGCCAACCTGAACCGAACTACATAAGATCCTGTCTCAAAAAGAAAAAACCCCAATAAAACAAATCATTTATACCTGTGTTCCATCCTCACCACACGGTGGAAACTGCTCTCCTCGGCCACATTGCCTTAGCTTTCTCCTCGCTCCTACGGCAGCACATAGACCATCTATAACCTCCCTTCGGAGAGCACCCCACGTTTCCCTTCGGAGAGTACCCCACATTTCCTGTCACCCGGGCTCTGTCAGTCACTGCCGACCTTTGCGTTTTTCTCTGTTGGTGCTGAGCTTATGACTCCCACAAGCCACAGCCTGCTTATCCTGCACCCCATACATACCCAAGTGGCTAGTGTGCAAATCAAATGAAACACACCCAAAATAGTGCTCCTGAATCTATACCCCACTCAGTTGGCCCAGACCTAAGAAGCGCCCTGACTCATTCAAGTCAAATCCACAAGTAAGGGTTGTTGCCTTTACCTTCAAAACAGAGCTCAAGGGCTGGGGATTTAGCTCAGTGGCACAGTACCTGCCTGCCAAGCACAAGGTCCTGAGTTCGATTCCCAGTACAAAAAAGAAAACAACAACAAAAAACAGCTCAAAATCCTAGGTACTTAGGAGTCTGAGGCAGGAGTGCATGTTCAAAGTCAGGTTTGGCAAGACTGCAATCTCAAAAAAGGGCTGGGAGCTGAGCATGGTGGTGCACGCTTGTAATCCCAGCATTTGGGGGGCTGAGGCAGGAGGATCGTTGCGAGTTTGAGACCAGCCTGGGCTACAAAGTGAGCTCAAGGACAGCCTGAACTGCATAGCAAGACCATGTCTCAAAAAGACAAAAAAAATTTAAAAAAAATTAAATTAGATTAAAAATTAAAAAACAAACAAAAGAGTTCACAACTAGTATGTGTGAGGCTCTGGGTGTAATCCCCAGTACCAAAAACAAACGAAACAAAAAATCCAGCTCCACCAGCTGGCCAGTCCCCTAGAATCCTCCTGCCACACCCCTCCCCCAACCCTGCTCCCAGAAGCCACTCTCCATCTCTAGTGGCTTCCTGTCCACTTAGCAAAGAACATTTCCAAACTCCCCACTGTGCTATGGGGCAACCAGGCTGCTGTGCATCCCGGCTGCGGCCTGATCCCCACCTCATCTTATACCAGTGCCTGTCACTGCAGCCACAAAGGCTGCTGGTCCTCCCTGCCTCAAGGCCCTGAGAGTCTGTGTGACCTGGGGTCTCCCCACAGGGCCTTAGGGACCTTCTCTGGTCACACCCTCCACTGTTCCTTCCCAGACTCAGGAGATTGTCATTCCATTCCTCTTACCTCCTGCCTGAGTGCTGTCCACCTGGCTTGACAGGAATGCCTCAAGAGCAGGACTGTGTGTCCTGACCCAGCGTAGTAGGTGTGCAGTAAACCCGGATGGTTTTTTAAATGCAGACTGCTGTCTTCCAGGGTAGTTCCAAGGCATTTCAAACCAAAGCCCCTCCCAGAGGACCTCCTTTCTTCCCATACCTTCCGCCCATGCATTTCAGCCAGGCCCAAAGGGTGCCCAGGGAGAAACCCCTGCTCCTCCTGCGCCTTCCTCTCCCCAAGCCATCAGCGTTCTCACTTCTGCCTCTCCTCCAGGCTTTCTCAGCTTTCACATCCTGGCTGCCTGCCTTCCTCGGACCCCCAGCCAGCATGGCTTCTGGCATCTTGCAGCAGCCCACTCTTCTTTGTTTTTTTTTTTTTGTCTTTTGTCTTTTCTTCTGGTACCAGGAATCGAACTCACGACCTTGCGCTTGTCAGGCAGGCGCTTTGCCGCTAAGCTAAATCCCCAGCCAGCAGCCCACTCTTGAGGGGCCGAGGCTGGGCCCTGCACCCCCAGCCCCAGAGCCTTCTCCCTTTCCCTGAGGAGAAACTCACCACGCTGCCCTTCCGCATGAGGACTTGTTCTCTCTAATGGTTACTTACTTGTGGGAGCTCCTTACCCAACTATGAGATATAGGGATGATATATCCTCATCCAAATAATAAGGGAAAAGTAACTCCCAACCTGCTATATGTCCGAGATGCCAAGTTCATGTTCTCTAAAACTGAAGAATTAATTCTAGGAACAATGGAGGTTAAGAGTAGGAAGAATGTATTAAGAGAAAGATAGTGTCTAAACACACACACAAAAGAAAGAGAAAGTGTGTGTCTAAAATAGACAGAAGAGGGGCTGGGGATTTAGCTCAGTGGCACAGCGCCTGCCTGGAAAGCCCAAGGTCGTGAGTTTCATTCCCGGTACTGGGGGTAAAAAAAAAAATCTTTAAAATAGAAGAGGCCAAGCTCAGTAGTGCACGCCTGTAATCTCAGCACTCAGGAGGCTGAGGTAGGAGGATTGCTGTGAGTTCGAGGCCAGCCTGGGCTACAGAGTGAGTCCAAGGCCAACCTGAACTACATAGTGAAGTCTTGTCTCAAAAAAATAAATAAAAAAGTAAGATAGACAGAAGGGGGCCTGAATGTAGGTGGCCCAATGACCCCACTTCTCAAGGGTGTTTTATTGAGCAAAGCCACGAGGTGAGGGGAACATAAGGTGGGACAAAACTATAGTTAACTAATAAGCTTATGAGTATAGTCACTTAGGTAATACTGATCCAATAGGAAGTCACAAGGTGGGTGTGAGGTGGGACAAAACTATGGAGGACCAGCAAGATTACAAGTACAGTCACTTAGGTAATGTTGTTTAAATGGGGATCAGATAGGGAAGCAAGTCACATAGCACACGTACGCGGACCAAGCAAGGATTTATTGGGAAGGAATGGTCCCCCAGCCAAGGAGCTTGATGTCTGTTTAGAATATGAACCTGCTGTTCATCCCTGGGGGATGTATGTGTGTGTGGCCATTCCTCTTTTCCTGGAAGCCTGGCCTTCAGTGAATGCACCTCCAGCCACTGTTGCCTTCTGCACTGACCTCCAGGGCCCAGCCTTGTCTGACTGCCCTGTTCTGTTTTTTTAAGGAGGAAAGGTTTATTTAGCTTACAGTTTGCAAAGGTTTCAGTCCATAATCGGTTGTCTCCAAGGCAGAGAGGGACACCGCAGAGGGGCAACACAGAGAAGAAACAGTTCATGGCACCAGAAGACAGCAAACCAGCAAGAGAGAGAGAGAGAGAGTGCCTTGTTATTTCTAAATAACTTAGCTGT